GGAAATATGTCATAATACAGCCTGCTACATCCAATCTAGCCGTTGGGGATATATATTCATAAAAGCAGATCTGTGCAATTTTCATAATGGAAAAGTTAACACGGCCGAGAATTGGGTAAAAGATTTTCTTATTTAAATGCACTCCCATCTCACTGTGCGAACACTGCGCAGTGCATTAATGGGGTCTGTGCTGCTCTAGAAAGATTCAATTGTTTATGACATTCAATAAAATTATTCTTAGGCGCAAAAATAGGGACAGCCAGACCACCTAGAATAAAATTTACAGCTTGGATCAAAGGACATTATAAAATCTCAAGGTAAGATGTCACAGTTAAACAACCTTTCTCTTGAAAATGTATTTTTTTTAATAGGATTTTTATAAGCCGTATATATGTGAATGTGATCAGCCTCAACTAAACCAGTCACGACTGGGCTAATGTAAGTATCCGAATATTCAATCTTAAAGGAGAACTGAACTCTGGAAGCTGTGCTCAAGGAAAGGCAGCCAGGCAACAAAGAACTAGTCACCAGTATTGCCCATGGTCTCCCTAAAGCTGATCTTTTACCCATTACTGAATTACCATGACTTGTTCTGCACTGTGTATCTGTATGAAGGTGGCCATCTTGATAGAGGTAGGGTTTTACTTCCTTATGTCAGAGCCTCCAGCAAGGAAAACAGTGAGCAGCACAGTAGTGACATCACCAAATCTCACTCCAAATCTCCAAAAACTAGCAGTGCCTTACAGCTATGAGACTATATGCACAGGGGTGCCCAGGCACACTCACATAGCAGGAATTGCATTGCTATTTTTCAGAAGGAATCCCAGACAAAAAGTTAGACCTTTCAGGATAGTGTTTAGGCACAATTACATTTTTACCTATGGAAGAGTAACATTTGTCCCCTTTATTTACTTTCACTTATTTTACCTGAGTCTGACTCTAGGGCTGAGAGTCACTTGAGGTCTGACAGTTGTTGCCAGATAACTGCATGATCTCATGCTGATAACACACCATCTTCTAGCTCCTGAGTATGCATAACAGTATCAAAACCAGGGCCGGATTTTCTCTCGCTGCTGCCCCAAGGCCAAGTTCCTCAATGCGCCCCCCACAGGCCAAGTCCCCCCCAATAGAGAATGGCAGAACTGCAGGCTGCATACAAGTGATCTCGACGACATCGCTGTACATTTAGCTCTGCTTGCCCAAAGCAGGGCTAGATGTAGAAAACAACTACCCGCCCGGTTTCCAAAACTGCGTGTCCTGGAGGTCGGGGTATAGGAATTCCACACCCCTGCTGTCCCTCTACTCCCTGAGTGATTCTAAAAGTAAGCACAATAGGGGGAATAGATCAATGTTATCACATAATTAGTGTCATGGTCCTATCCCTAATTTCTATTGTGTATAGTGTCAGATTTATTATCCTAGTTTATGCTTCATTCCTAAATGCCTTGATAAGGAGAACTGTCTCAAAATTGTCCCGCCCTCTAAACTGTCTCTAAACTGTCTCACGCTTGCTCAGAACCTCCTGGATGACAGCTGAATAGCCTTGAGGCACTCAGCTGACTAGGGGAAATTAAGGTGAATTATCTTTGCGACACTTTAAGTGCTCAGGAGCTTTCTAGGATGTTCCATAGTTTGGGGGTCTTTTACTGCGGAAATGCTGGACACAAATACCATGCAGTTGAAATATGATGCGAAATGTTGGAAAACATGTACAGTGAGTCACAAACATGAATATGTCTCACGAACACTTAAAAACAGACACAGAATAGAAATAAAACTCTGCGGTTAGCATGACATTTTTGTCTTTGCACCTAAAAATTTTGGTTGCAAACACATTCATAAATTCCCCCCAATGTCTGTGTAGTCAGATAAATCAATTCTTTAAATATGTTATTTTTTTCCCCTCCTCTTTTCTTTTCTTAGTGCAAAGAGATCTCATAATATATTTATGTCTGCATAATACAAATGTTATAAATAAATAAACTATAAAAATTGACATGTATCTCTGCCCTCTTGGAGGCACAGATTTGACACAGAACCAGCCCTTGCCTTCTGTTACAGAATATTTACGGTAATTCCAAATTAATTAACAGGCACTAACTTTCTTTAAAAAGCAACCCCATCCAAATTGGTTTTTCAATATTAGGTAGAATAGAATGGGGATGGATCCAATATCCCACCAGGTGTTTCTTTAGTCTATGCAGGCTGAGATTATATTTCAGCCAAGCTTCTGTTGTCACCAGACCAAATTAATTCTCCAGATATTCACATGAGTAATCCTTCTACAGATCTCAGTACAAAAATGCAGCTTCTTACACCTTCTAATAAACTAAGAAAATATACAGAACTCAAGATCAATGATAGAAGTAGCTCAAATGAACGCGTTTCACTGAAGAAAAAAATACCAGGAGCAGGGGGAAATACTCCCAAATCATAATAAATGTGCAGTGGTGAGGAAACACTGTATGACTCCACCTAGAAAGTTCCTTTTACATCATCCCACAGTTCCTGAAGTTGTGTTTCAGGAGAAGGTAAAACACAATCTCGTTGCCTAGCATTCCACACTGGAGGGAAAAAAAGAGAAAAAAAATCCTTCCTGACCTCCTAAATCAGAATAATTCCCCTCTTCCCCACTTTTCTTTACAGATTCTATCCTCAGCCTGTAGGGAAGAAGCCAATCACTGCAGGGAGTCCAGCTTAGAGTTGAATATTTGAGGTATCTTCAATGCAATCTTACGCAGGAGCAAGGTGAAATTGGGGATCTAAATCAGTATAGAGAATTTAGGTCTGCTTTAAAGTCAAACTGAACTTTCAGTGAAGGTTCTCAATCATCCAGGCCATGGTATATGTATAACAAAATATAAATCAAAGCAACTGGACTTGCTGTGTTTTTCTTGAATTCTTAGAGAACAGAAAAAGCTAGTCGGATGACCAGTGAAATGTCTTCAAGTCTTCAAGAAAAACACAGCAATTCCAGTTGCTTTAATTTATTTTTTACGGATATAACAGACTTTTTAGTTGAAATCAGCCAAATACATTTCCGTAGCATCAAAACAAAAAGGGGTCTTGCCACCCACATACTTCCATGTTATTTGTACTTATTGTACTTGTTGTACTTGTTACAAGTATTTTGTACTTGTTGTACGTAACATTTAAAACCAATAAAACTTTATTATTTAAAAAAAAAGTGTGAAAGTCTTATAGTTTGTTTCCTTTAAAAAAACAGCCACATTATGAGAAGAAAACACTGTCCCCTGGCAGCATGGTGTAGAGAAGGGTCCTTGCTCTCTAAGTGGAATCAGTGGTCTCACCTGCCTTGTGTCAGAGCCACAGTTCTCCATTCAGCATTCGTGATCAGAAGGGGGCATGTTGGACCTCTGCGGAGAGACCAATGCTTACACACAGATTGCAAGAGTCCTTCACTGCAGCATGTACACCCTTTTGCTCTTGCAAGACTTTGCAAAACTTTTGTTTTGATGTTCCTGTAATTTACTGATTTAAACAAAACGTTCAGTTGAGCTTTAAGGAAAACCCGTAAGGAGACAGGTATATATACCACTGACAACTTTCATCTGAGAATCAGCCGTGCAAGCCTGAAGAGAATAGCCGAACAGCGTTCGGCTCACTTCACTTCGGGTTGGTTAATCACTCGGCTGCCTTCTGCAGCTTTGTGAATAACCCTCTCAGTCACAGCCCTTAACCTGCATGCTAGATCTAGTTCAGAATACTGAAACCACTGGATCAGCATGACAGCCAGACAACTAGCATTTTCAGAGGTAAGCAGTGGCAGGCTCCATGTTTCGCTCATAGCAAGTGTTCCCTAAAGCCCAGGTCCAGCTTGGGCAAAAAAAAATAAAGTTACTCTCCATCATGTTTTAAAAATAAAAAAGCAGCTCTGACTGCTACACTCACCTAATCTCCTGCACTGCCCCATGCAGATTCATCCACTCACTAATACAGAATTGCTCTTCTATAGTGTCCATTCACACCCAATGTGTTAGGGCCGCACTGGACGTTGTTTCCACTGCAGCCCCAATGCAAGACAAGGCAATTTGCTTTGTCATGGATGGACACCTTTCACATCACCGCATTGTGGTGGGAACGTAGTGGTGAACATTGGGAAAAAAAGTACGGCATGCCTTACTCTTTTTCAGCGCAGTGGGACGAGACCCAGAACAACTGCCTGGCCATAGACCTGAATGAAAGATCACTTGTGGCATTTTAATAAAGTTCTAAAAAAAAGCACACAGTGTGATTTTCCGGGATTGGAGCATTGGCCCTGTGTCAGGCACCACATTTTGCACAGTGGCTGGTGTGAATAGACCCTCAGGGTTTAATGACATGTAGCGTCATTTAACCCATTTCCTGTGAGCCCAGGACGTCAAGAGCCCACCTCCTTTTCTGAACTCACAGAAGAATGCTGCAGAGGGCATAGAGCATTCAGGAATCAACCACTGGTAGAGAAAGAAGAGGTTGAAGAGCACCTGTGATGTCACATGATCAGATTTAACACACTTGGAAAACATACAACTTTACAGAATTTGTTTTCCTTAAGGGTCGTGGGATGCTTCAGTGGGAGAGGGAGCTGATGAACGGTAAGATACTACTCCCAGTAATGTGCTATAATGATCCGTATTTTAGCACTTGTGCAATGAATGAAAAAATAAGGCTTCTCCTGGAATTTACAATTGAGCCTTTATATACACACATACAAACAAAATCACACCGGCACAGACCAACAGCACAGCTAATACTTATACACATTTGCAATGTAATTATATTTTCACCAAATACATTCAACTTTTTAAGCCTTTGATTGTCATACTTAACACAGACAATAGGACACCCTGACATTGCTGTCTAGTCGAAGACAGCCTGGATATTGATATAAATCCTGAGGCTTTAAAAGAGAACTACATTTCCTAAGTGAAATCTTCCCAATGTGTGGCCTCGTCTGTAAAAGAAGCATTGAGATTAAAAGCAAAAAAAGCTTTTGGTACCTTTTCCATGCCATCTTCCTTCAGGCTAATAATATCCAAATCAAAATCTCTTCTCAAGCCGTCCGTTCTATTGAAGGTGATCCGACCTGTCAAACCATCCCAGCGTGCCTGGGGACACATAGACAGGAAGAGATATTTAAAGCTCAGCGTACTATCCATCACTTCTTTCTTCCAACACACAAACTTTTGTACATAGCTTCCTGCCTACTGTGTAATTTATATATATATATATATATATATATATACACCTTCCTAGTGAGCTGATCTCTAGTTTGTATGGTAAATTTTACATTTTATCATAAACATTGTGCTTATAATATAAAGCTGACCTCCAGGCAAACAGCCAAACACACTAGTGAAATACATATGAGGGTTGTTTCTTTTTACATGAAATGGATTTGTAATTCGGTATATCCATTCCCATGATTTACACAGCCCTACCACACAGCACAGTCAGATGAATCTCAATCATGCTATGTGACCCATCCTGTTGACGTTTTGCCATGTGGCCCCTCCTGCCCCAGTGATGTCATAAAACCCCTCCTGCCTCAGTTAGGCCATGTCATATCACCTCCTGCTCCAGTTATGCCAAGTGACCACTCCAAAGTAGTGATGCCATGCTACCTGTCTTGCATCAGGAATACCATGTGACCCCCTTCTGCCTCTATGATGGCAAGTTACCTCTTCTGGATCAGGAATGCCATATGACCCCTTCTGCCTCAGTGATGCCACATGACATGTCCTGCCTTCCTGATGCTATCTAGTTAGGGAGATCGGCAGTTAATAATTAATGAATATTTTATCCCTGCCTCTGTTCCATGTAACAGATATGCCAGTCAAGGTGAACAATATAAACCCATTTAATGATGTTTGATAGTACGAAACATTAAAACACAGTTAATTATCCAGAGTATTACAAAATTCAGTTCCATTACTTTTCTCCTCATGAAACTAAGTGCAGAAATATATATTTGTTGCTCCATAAAATTAAAGACCAGGCAGTAACTTTTTATTACAGAGACACGGAATACATATTTATGCTTAGCAGCCCATGCAAATGTGCCTGGTCATGTATAACAACAGGGAGTCAAGGTTTTCTAAAAACTGGCATAATGCTTAACAATCTCCTATTGAATGGGTTACAAATATGGACATCAGAGATTCACAGGAAAATGGCATTGTGAAAAAACAAAAGACATAGACCAGATTCACTGAAGTGTGCAGATTGGTGAAGAGAGATGAAGTGCAGTGAATCTGGGCCTAATGTGAGGAGTGTATAGTGAGACCTGCTGGACATATTAGAGTTTGGGTTTACATACACTTTAAATCTGTTCTATATCAATCCTCCTAGTCTCCTACATCCAATCTAGCAATATCACCTCCTGCACCCCATCCTGCCAGGCATTACATGAAGTGACAGATATTTTAAATTGATCGTGTAGTGACAGAAATATAGAGGTTGCCATTGCTGACCCCCTTATGAAAATACAAGCCGCCTGAATTAGTACTGAAGCCTCCATATATCACCACCTCTTATCCAAATAGAGATAGCCTTGCATTTATTGATAAAAAATACTATGCATTCTGTGAAAGGTTGCTATGCCGAGCTAACAACTCCTTGTGTTTTCAGAGCAGGGAAGAAGCCTCTCAGCACCATACAGAACTCAGAAGATCATTACTACAGTTCTTTACAGGATCCCTGTGGACCAACCAGGTATATCATATGCATACTTACGTTGGCCCAAGCTGGACCAATGTAAGTATGCAAAATACTTTATATCTGGAGTTAAACTTTATAAAATGTACAAATTCTCTTTAAACATGAGTCATATTTTTTTAAATTCAGGTTTTACTTGCCTTTTAGGACAAAGGAAACATGGCTGACATACCTCCTTGATGAGATTCATGAAACGGGGTCCGAATCTCCAAGGTTTGTGCCGATGACACTGAAGAGAGCTGACAGTCATCTGTGTGGCTCGTTGTGTGGCAACCGCGACCATGTAGACAGCATCATACATCAACGCTGCATCTGTCTGTATTGGGGACATAGACAGACTATATTTTATTATAATACCCATGACTAATACAAAGGTGCCTCTGTCTGTCGTGCCACTCACAATTAGTGGAAAGTCCATTCATGCCGAAGGGTATTTCATGAAAGCTCTTCTTTTTACTTTTTATTTGTTTACCACAAGGCATGCACTACTTGGCTCTTACACAAAAATATTATCTTCAGTTAGCATTTTATGTTTTAAAAGTGAACCTCTAATTTGCCGATGTAGGGTCAAGCAACAGATCTACTTTAATGCTAGCTTCTGCAGTTCCATGTACTTCCCTGCAACTCCATACACACGGGGAAGGAAAAGTAACATACCCAGTATTTCCAAGTATGAGCAAGTGTGTAAATTACTTCCTTTCCTCCCATGAAACAACGCTGGTACTTGGCAACTGGCCACTAAGGCACCCAGTGCTGGTGGATTGAGTATTCTCAGTCCTTTGCAAGCTCCAAGTCAGGCCACTAATTCCAGTTGCGGGTGCTGACACTGATGTAAGCTTGTTGCTTTGCCCTACATGGTTTATAACAGAAGTTCACTTAAAGTTTATAGTTCCTTGATTTGTTGTGACATGTCTACAGCAAACAATTATAATGTACCTCTCAATTTTGTAGCACAGCCATGAAGCGCCTAGTACAGAATATTCACAACAGAAAATATGGATCCACTCACACTAATTGGCTAAAAGTTTTGAGTTCAGGTGTTTCCAGTGAAGGGTACTGTTAATGCTACAGCAAAAACATTTGAGACAATTGTGGATCCCCCCCCCCCCTTATGTTAACAGTTTGGTGAAGACCCTTTTCTGTTTCCGCATGGTTGTGTCCCTGTGCACAAAGCCAGCTCGAATAAGACATAGTTTGATAATTTTGATGTGGAGGAACTCAAGTGGCCTGCACTGAGCCCTGAACGTAACCCTACTGAACACCTTTGTAATGAATTGAAATGTCAATTTTGAGCAAGGTCTTCCCGTCCAACATCAGTACCAGACCTAACAAATGCTCTTTTGGGTGAATAAGCTCACATTCCTACAGACACGCTTCAAAATATCATGAAAAGCCTTTAAAAAAAAAAAAGCAGGGAATGTGATAGTGAGGGGAGCCAACTCCATACTTATGCCCATAGTTTTGGAATGGGATGTCCAAACAGTTCATACAGATGTGATAGTCGGGTGATGAATAAATATATGTGAACGTTTGACCATATAGTGTTCTCTAGGTTAGCAAAAGGGTGGGTCTCACTCAAGCCCAGCAGTGAACAAACTGGTGTTGACCAGTGGTCTACCCAATAGCCAGGTGGATCTTGCAGTACTTTGTGTGCTAGAGGAAATACTTGATGTTGATCTAATCATTGTTTTGAGATACCTTCATAAAAACAACTAGATTATCAGTTAATGGTCTATTTCTAACATCATCAAAGACTTCTTTGCATTAGTTTGTGTATCCTCTCTCTCCCACTAGCCCATGATAACAGTGCCAATCTTTTCACAGCTAGGGAGCAGGACACTATTATTAAAAGCCACAGCACTTGAGAGGAACTGAGAATTTTGCAGGAAATATCTCACCACTGCAGTCTAGGAGAGATATAAGTCAACTCAATTTGCCAGCAACAGAACAAAACAGAGATATCAGTGTTGGGTTGAGTTGGCCTTTAAGAAGGCAGGATACAAGGAGGCAGCTTGAAAAGTCACAAAGTACAAAGCACAAAGAGTATAAACAGATCATACAGGCATTCTGTCCTTCCAGCACTGACTGTAATTTAAAAAGTCAGATGGTTATGTTACTGCTCTGGTCTTGTTGTCAAGGTTGTATATTACATCAGCAGGCTATAAATATTAGACTGGAAGTCACAGCAGTTTGATAAATATACAACTGGATTTCAGCTTGTCAACAAAGCAGACATTAAGTTAAAATAGCTTCTACCACAGGTGAATGAAAAAGAAAGAGTAGCTACAGGGCTTTGTGATCAAGGTTAGATACGTTGCCATCAAATCACACCTTCAGTTGGACACTGGGAGGTGAAAATAAAACAAAAACTATTAGTTGCATGGAAGAGGCCCCAGCTGAATTACATCTTATAACTGAAAGAAAATCCTGGAGCCATTTTACGTTTTACATTTGAATAGATATACCATATGTGGTTGTATTCAGTTAAACATAAAAGTCAATTATCAATGTACGTCAGTGTTTTAAAAACTACTATGTAAAGATTGTAGTTAAAGCTGAGGGCAATGTATATCATTTTAATAACTGTAGAGTGGTTATTAGCTAGCTACCTCTACCTTAAAACAATTCTGGTTGGTTTTTTATCATAGAGAGCAAAAAGGACCTCATCTCAAAAAGTAAGGACTGTCAATGTTACATTTAGAAATGTTAATTGTGCCTGAGCTGTAGCCTCATAGCTGGTGCAGACCTGGACGATCCGGGACACGTGTCCCAGGACTGTGAGATTGTGCACAATTGCAAACAGCACGTCCCCATTGATTTCAATAGGGTTACATCTGTGTGGCAATCACAGAAAAAAGGTACACGCACCTTTTCCTGCGACACACGGCGTGCGGCTATTTTAGCTGTGATCGTGTTCGACTGTACCGGCGGAATCGCGGCGGGAAACAGTGCGATCCGCCCGGCATGACTGGGGTACTATTAGAAAATAATGGCACCACCAGCGCGATCGCTGGTGGTGGGCGACTCCGTGACTGCACAGCATTCCGCAGGTGTGAACCTGTCCTCACTTATCTTGCATTCCTGCTGGAAAAACAGCAGTGCACTTCCTGTGCCTAGGCACTCGGGTGTTTTAATCCCTATAGCAGTATACACTGAGTGGCCAGATTATTATGACCACCTGACGTTTGTAGGCAAATTAGCTATAATTAGCTATAATTTCGTGCTGAAGTTGCTAGAGGGCCAGACCATTATAAATAGGGAAGCAGGTTGTTTACCACGACAGTAGAAGTAATTTTTATTCTGAAGATATGGGTAAACAACGCGATTTAACAGCCTTTGAACGTGGGATGATTGTAGGCGCTCGGAGCCATGGAGCGAGTATCAGCAAAACAGCAGAATTCGTTAAATGTTCAAGAGCAGCTGTTGTTAAAGTGTTTAAAGACTGGACTGTCAGCCGAAAATCTGGGTCTGAACATGCGAATTGTGGCCGTCAGCGACTTGTCAATGTTAGGGCACAACGGAGAGTGGCAAGACTGGTACAAGACAACAGAAAGGCAACAGTGCAGTGTCAGATTCCTCGCATCACCTTTCAACATCTCGTGGAGTCACGAGGCGGCCCTACAAAGTCATCTCGTGGAGTTATCTCGTGGCCCAACAAAATACTGATGGGGTGGTCATAATAATCTGGCCACTCAGTGTATATGCTGTGTGAGATGAGATCTAAGGCACTGCTGCATTTAACTGCTAGTCTCACCAGATTTTGATTGAAATTTACTACTGTGCTGCTCACTGTTCTCCTTGCTGGAGGGAAAGCTAAAGTGCAAGGATCTCCCTGATTATTCTTCATTCATTTTGTGGATCTGGGCTTTCTAAACCTCATCTGCTGTTTCTTGATTATTCCTCTATTAGCCATCAGACCACCAGGATGACAATGTAGAGGAAGCAAAGCAATTTTACTCTACCAAGATGCATGCCTTCACACAGAGACACAGTGCAGAATAAGGCATGGTAAGGCAGTCCTGGGGAAAAGATTATCTGCTGGGAGAACACCACCAATAATGGTGACTGGTCCCTGATCTTCTGTCTGCTTTTTTTAGTGCAGCTTCCGCATTCAGGTTCTCTTTAAAAAAAACTGTGTTTTAGTTTTGCCAGATAGTATAGCTCCTGCTGTGCTTGCAACACAGGAGAGGTAACTAGCTACTAACCCCTCTAATGCTAATAAAATGATTGTGCCTGTAGTTCAGCTTTAAATATACATATGGGACTTAGCGGTGCCACAACATGACTGTGTCTACCAGTTAGGCCTGGTCTTGGCGAATCACTGCAGCACGTGAGCTGTGAGCAGGGGTGTCATATATATGATACCACAACACTTAACCGACAATCCCATGACAACTGAATGGGGGGATTGGCCTACACTATAAAAGTCACCAATGACATTCGCACATTTTCCAACTCCTAAATTTCATTTATGACACTGTTAGGACTTCCACTTATGTTTTTGACATTGTGTATCCACTAGGGAATCCCTCACATTGGATAGCAACAAACAAATATGGTGAAACTGAGAGTGACGTTTGGTTTACAATGGATTTGCCCCATTTTGATCTATTCTGAAAGGTCCGGATCTATAACTCTACCACCAAACAGGATATATACTGTATCTCTACCACCGAAGCACATCCAAAAAACAACATGCAGACATGTATGATTAGCTATTCTTATGGCTTATTTATTTCTCAGTTCAGTGTTTTGCCCGGAGCTGTCCTTTAAGAGCTTAATGTAGAATATCTCTCCACCCTTCATTACCCATTCCCTTTGTTCATGCTCCTATGTGTCTAGAAAACGTGACACTATCATTCAATAGCTTTTAATGAAAACATCACAGATAATGCTTTATATTAAAATAGGAGGCATCAAAAGCCATACAATTTTGCAAAAAAAGGTGATTTTGCTATATAATGCGTCATTAAGTTCCTATCTGCCTAGTTTTAGATGCACAGAAGGCAGCTACATAGGACAAATACTAAATACAATATATACTGTGATGATCTAGGGCAAACAACATTTAGGCCTTTTTCTTTTATAACAGTCATAATAATAACAACTGTAATATGTCGCCTATTTATTCCAATAATTCTCTGCGGCGATACATTTGTGCAGAAGAGAGCTCTAGATATGAAATGTGGCCTCATTAGATTCCAGGTTTACAAGGAAATTACCTTATCAGGAATGGAAAGCTATAAATATCCATATTTTGTTTGCTATTTGTTTAATATGAGAATATGAATTTTCTTACCGGGATTAAAAGCCCGCTCATAATTTGCATTTTTCTTAAGTAAAAACGCATGTGTTTTGCCACAGGAAAGATTTGTTAAAAAACATTAATTTCGGGAAGCTTTATCACATCATATCACTTCAGGACAGCTAGTTTTCAAGGAACGTGTCCTAAGAGAAACGCAGGGATGACCATTTCTGATAATGCTATTTACCTGGCCATGGTCATGCCATTCTCTGATATCAGGACATCCTGCTCAATGATTTGGCGTACGTATGCAGGAAGTGAAATTGGAGCAGTCTTACAGGGTTATTCACAAAAGGGGGAAGGGTTTGGAGAAGGCAGGAGAAGTGAACATTCTAGGACAACATAGCTGATCTGGAAAAATGGTCCAATTCAGCTCACTTCCCAGTTTCGTTATGTTACATAGTTACATAGTATTTGAGGTTGAATAAAGACACATGTCCATCAAGTCCAACCTATTGTGTGTGTGTGTGTGTGTGTGTATAGATCCCTGAGTCATCTCGTTATTAGGAGTACTTGTACCCCTGTATATTACCGTTTCTCAGGAAGTCGTCCAAAAGCTTCTTGAACGATTCAATGTTGTCTTGGATAGTTCACTTTTTCTGCCTTCTCCAAACTCTTCACCTTTTTGTGAATAACCCTGTTAGTTTCTCATCTGTATGCTTGTTTCAGGACAAGGAATCAGAATGTAGACTTTTCAGAATAAAAGATTAGCAATGGAATCCTCCATGATTATCTTAGATTAGTATTATATAATCTTATCTAAGATTCCTTTATGAAATCATGCATGCTGTGATAGATAGTTACTCTTCGCCACAGCTTAGGCCTGATGGCTTATTTATAAGGATACAGACCACTTACAATATCTCTAAGGTTAGTATCTGGCCAACTGTGTGCATCAGAGAAGACCATATGATACTTAATTTCTTCAAAGCTCTAAATTATAGAGTTCACCTTTTAGAGACATATCTTTTCTACCTTCTCTATCCCTTCCTCTTTATTTCCTACCTTTTTTATCCACAGTTTTCCTTTCTTTCTAGTTGAGCTTTGCCCATAACCTCTTACAAGCAGATTCCATTTGAATTGTGGTGTTACTCACCTCAGATTCCTAAACCTTAAAGATCTTCATCCTCATCAGTATGATGATACAAATTCGCCTTAAACTTCACAATATATAGTTCACAACACCCATGAGGGAATGGCTTTTCTGACTATACTTTTATTGCCTTTTGTATTTTTTGCACTTTCTGATTTTATACCATTATTGCTTTTGGATTTTTGGAATTTTGTACTTCTACAATTACAATAAATCTTTATTGCTTAAAACAAATCCTGCATGCTGGTTTTAAAGAATTTAGGTAAAATGCATTTATTCTTACCCCACACACACACACACCCACACACACCCCACTGAGCTAACCTAGCCAACTTAGCCACCCTCCCGTAGGGTTCTATAGGTCTGTCACACATGTAGCTTCCCATAGGACTCTATAGATGTGTCCACATAGTAGCTTTCCTTAGGTTTCTAGAGTGCTGTATCTAGGAAGCTTCTCATACGGTTATATAGGTCTGTGCGGGTATCCAAAGGGCTCTGAATGCTTTTTTTTCGTAGCTTCATGTAGGCTTCTATATGGCTCCCTTCTGAGTTTCTCCCATAGGGTTCAAAAGGACTATCTCCTAAATATCTTCCCATAGGGTTCTATTGGTCTGTCTCCTGAGAAGCTTTGCATATATGCTTGTTTCATGTGTAGCCATAGGTTTCTATTGTCCAGATGCAGTCAAGTTTGCAAATAAGCTCACTGGCCCTGGAAAGGCAAACAAAAGGCAAGACAAACAAAACAGGCCTCCCTTGTTGGGTAACCAGAAGTGACTCAATGTTCAGAAATAAAGGGCACCAAACCTAAAGGTGAAAGAGTCCAATTTGATCAAACAATAAAAACATTAAGTGCGTTTTGGGGTAAATGGATCTCTATATGATTTGATATAAAGATCTCCTATAGGGCTGGAATTGTAATTGGCAGCAGCAACTTTAATTCAAACAATAGGGCTGCCACTGAGACTACAGGCAGCTCCATTCAGCCACCAGGAGTGGTAACGTACATGCTATCAACCCGACATGGTAGACCAAGTGATGGCCACTCTGTCAAGCAAAGCTTTAATATTTGACAGGTAGTGTCAGAGCTTGCCTTTACTCACCTCAACAATCCTATACCATATCATTATGATGATCAGAATTAATGGGCAATAGGAAAGTGCAGGAGGCAGAAAGGGGTAGGTGAGCTTTGACTGCCAGAATTGGACTTGGATCTTCAGGTGCCTAACTTTATACTTGCAGTAGTTTTCTTTATTTATTTGTTAACTAATTATCTTTAAAGCGGAACTCCACGATACGAAAATATTGTCTAAAATGCAAGAGCCAAGTAGATTTGTACTTGAATCTCGGTGAGCTTTATGTATTTCTTCCAGATCTGTGCAGTAATCCCGCATGAAATTTTGTATCTGTACAGAAGCTTCCTGTAAAAAAGACCTGTAGTGGGTGGGGCCTACTGGGTCCCTCCCACAGCTGTGCTCTCTGCACAGGCACAGTGATGATGTCATGGCTACTTTAACATGGTAATATCTGGGCTAGCAAAGTCATTTGGTGGACACAAACTGTTTTTAAATATTACGGCTATTAAGGAATACATTTTAATAAATGTATTACAGTATGTAGTTCAGCTTTAAGGAGCTCAGTCAAACAGGGAATTTCATTTTTCCTGTTGCATAGACAACGAAAAGAACAAGCAGAGTTGTAGCTGTGGATAATATTTCTTCTCTGTAATTGTATAAATGTGCAGTGTTTATTAAGAGAGCTGGCCAACGGATAGTGGTGTAAATCTGAGTCCTCATTATCACTGTGCACCACCAGATGCTCTAGACTATTAATCAGTTTGTAAACTGGAAATAATGCTGGTGCAGCAATAATATATTAATGTCATGGCAATTTTTATATTAAGCTATGGCCAGTGCATTGTTAGGACTGTGCTTTTTTCCCCCCATCAACTTAGTAATATAGATGGCTCTATAAAATGTTTATTTGTAAAACAAAGATTTTATAAATAGTAATAGAAACAGATATAAAGCATCCATTTAAAACTTAAAGATTTATAATGTTAAAACAGAATTGACCCCAAACCATTGAAAGGTTCATTTATTCATGAGGAAAACGTTAGAATAGCCTTTTTCAACCATTGTGTGCCTTCTGGCTTTGTCAGGGGTGCTTTCAAATTTTTGTACAGCGTCATGCAGTTTCATGGTGCAGGTGAGGCGGCCATCAGCACAATGGAAATGCATGCTGCTAATCCAGGGCAGGCCGCATTCAGAGAAGGATAGAAATCCACCTCTGTCCAGACCTGCTTCGCCTCCAGCCCTCTGCGATGATGCTGGAGCCACACTGTGGTGGAGATTAAAAGCCGCACTGTGGTGGAGATTTGATATTAAGGGAGGACTGAGAACTCTCATGTGAAAGGGTGTTCCTGATGTGAAAGGGGGACTCCGATGGGAAGGGGGCACCTGATGGGAAACAGAGCTTCTGATACAAAAGGGCGGACTCTGATGTGAAGGAGGGGGGACTCCACGTTTTTTTTTTTGTGTGCATGGGAATCCTGCCCTTATGAAGGATAGTGGTCTGGTATAAATTTTGCAGGCAACCCCAGTCATTTGTGGTGCCTTGAAATTTTGAATACTTTTAAGGGGTGCCATGACTGAAAAATAGGTGGGTTAGAAAACCATATGTGCATAGGTTCCAGCTCAGCAAAACACACATATCAGTTATTGCTGCTCTGTCTGACATTAAAGCATACACACAAAAAGGTCTTCTTCTTTTATAGCCACTTTAATTTCCACTCACAGTCATCATTCCATCCAGAAGGCCAGTCTCTGGTTTGGGTGGCGCTTGCAGACGTTCCATCGACCATTTATCAACCACCGATGACACCTGAGGATTGTCAATGTTCAGAAGGCGGAATCCTGTCATATTCACGCCGCTGTATCTGTATGGCTCAAGGTCCAGGGCAAACAGGTCCTGGTAGAAAAGATACAACATACATCACGTCACTGCTACAAAAATAAGAATAGTTATTTTATCAGTTGTCTATTAAAGCAAGATACTAAAGGATGAGCATAGTTATCTTATATGCTTGTGAACACACAAAGCATTGGCTGTGTGAATGTAAGTTTATTTGGGAAAATTATTAAAATGTACTCATAAGTTGACGCCTAGGTGATAGTGAGTAGACATGTGCACTGTCAAAAAATGTGTTTCTTTTCGTTTTAAATTCGGATTTGTGTTATTTCGGTTTTCGGGATTCAGGTGTGAAAGTCAATTCGGATTCGGAATTCGGATTCGGACGAAATTCGGTAGCGGTAGGTCGAACGTTCGTTTCGTTTTCTGTTCTTATTCGTTTCTTATTCGTTTCTTATTCGTTTCGTTCGTTCGTGACATTTGAGGGGGAAAAAATATTTTTCTCCTTCTCTAATGTCACTTTGCTCCAACGAACGAAACGAATAAGAAACGAAAACGAAACGAACGTTCGAACTACCGCTACCGAATTTCGGAAATGGAAATTCAGATTCGTTTGCATTCGTTATGTCTGTAATTCGGAATTCGGATACATCCGAATGTCCGAATTTCCGAAAATTCGTCAGAATTTCGATTCGGAACGAAACGAATCGCACATGTCTAATAGTGAGGTCCTATAAAGCAAAACAGCAATAGAGCAATGATACAGTACCAGTACGTTTTTTAAAAATACAATTCTGAATAATTATTTATAATTGCTTCATATGTAAACTTTAACTGAAAGTAAAGTATTTTTATTAAATATTGCTGACAGGCAGGCTTTTTTTTTAATAGCAGAAGAGACTGTGTAAGCCGCCTCTGCCAAAAGTGCTTCTACCTGCCTGTCAGCATTTTTTTTTTTGTCCAGGGACCCAGCATGCCAAGATGAAGTAACTCCCGTGCACATGCGCATTATGTCATTGGGGCTCATGGAGTTATGTCATTGGGGCTTAGTTAACCAAGAGGCTGAAGACGCTGAACCCAGAACCTTGAAGAAGACCTGGTGTGCTGTGCATATTAGCACATGATGGTAAACAACACCGCAAAACACTTAAAAAAAAAAATATCCCACTTTAACGTGATAAATAAGATAAGTGGACCTGGCATTTTCAATGGCACTGAAATATGGGCGCTAAAACTGTCAACTGTTTTTTTTTTTACAGTCAAACACCAGCCAAGCAGATGAAAAAGAAAACACTGCACACTAAATTACATTACTCAGTATACAATCAGGGCATGCCTTGGAGCTGAGATTTAATTCCCCTCCCATGTGCATGCAGAGGATTAATTTAAGCTAGAGCCAGCCAATCCAGATGACTAAAGGTGCTAAAACCGCAACAAGACTAGCCAAGATGTCAGCACCGGACATCGCTTTGCTGGGGGAGGAGATTATAGCGAACTTTGTTACACATTTTATTCTCATAATACACTGCATACCAGAAAACAGCCTGAGAGTGGGAGAAGGGAGGCAATAGGATTCTAATGTGGGGCACAGTGGAGTTATTTTAAAATGTTTTAGGTCTTGCCAGCTGGAGTGGTCAGAGACAGAATAATGATAAACTCACTGAAGTTCAGTCATCAAGCAATATACAGTATGTTCTGAGGATGGAGAGGAGATACAAAAAGCTGAATGGTGGTGTCAAAAGTCAGAGGGAAGTTGGAAATTCTGATCCTAAGCTAAAATAATGTCATCAGTCTGCTGCAGGCAGGAGGAAGCATTTTTTTGTTTCCTCTCCTATAGTGATCAGGATGCAACAGTGTAAAAGTCAACAGTCAGGGTAAGGGACTTGTTCCAGATCTCTTGAACATAGTAAAACGATGTTAAGGCATTTTTAAAAGGTCAGCATTGTGGGTCTCCACATCTTCCCAGTTTTATTCAATAAAATTACAAACATTTGACAGATAAATATGTTTTTGCTATGTGTCTAACTTGCTGACATTCCCTTTCACATATTTCCTTATTGCTATGATATTTTGATACTTTTAAGTTAGACATTTCTTTGAGCACATAGAAAGACTTTGAATCAGACAGGGGAAGAGACGAAGGCTATTAAGGCAGCGTCATAGCTCAAAGTTATTCCACTAAAGCCAGAAATGAGAAAATGAATTGAATTAAGGCTCAGCACTTTAATCCCAGAAGGGAGCTCGTTATATGCTTTGGCTCCCTTACTCTTTACTGTATAGAAACTAAGCAGTGAAAACTGTAATAGAATTACAAGGGGGACATAAGGAGTCCAATAATTAGAGTGAGTCATAAAGAATTGGGAGTCATTAAATCATGATTAAGAACTCGGTGCACCCAAACCGAAATTTCACGCCTAATATAATGAAATGTCACAATAATAATGAATAGTTATTTCCCAGTTAGCAGATGAAAAGGGTATTTTACAGGAGTTTATATGAGATTTAAAGAGCTGCATGGAAAGAATGCAGATATTGTCCTATAGTCACGAGTATTTCCAGATGTTAAAAAATGAAATAATGGCACAGGAGATGGTTGGCTAATGCATTAAAATGTTTTTGCTAAAGCTTGTAGCTCTGAGCCAGGTACAAAAGATTGCAAATATTTTTCAGCATTAGGGATCTACGCAGTAAAGCCCCTAAAGGGTGGGTTCAGCCAGGTTAGGATAAAAACTCCCCAGCTTCAACACCCTACCCCATACTAACCTATTGTAGGGTGAAACCGCCACACCCATGAGCCCACATACCTTACTCTGAAAGCAACAGCCTCCCAGAGTGGTTATTTCTTCAGTTCCGAAATGTTCTAATGCTGCCCACATCTCGACTTGAATGGGTTGTACCCATATCGTTAGAAGACCCCATTCAATAATTGGGAAGTTTCTGTGTAGGTGTAGGCAGCAAGGAAAATGTTTCTAAAAAGAGGATGAGGAATAATACAGTAGGCTCATGCTGCAGGAGAGAAGTAAGTGTGCCCCTGGGCTGGGGAGGTTTCAGCTTAGATTACGTTAGGGGGGACTTTTTATCAAAGCCTAAATTTGTTGCTTGAGGAGACCCTGTCTCCACATTAACCTTTACAAGTAAACACAGGATGGAAGAAGTCTGTAGATGTACATACAGAGGTGCTGCCAGATTGCGATTCCCACACACACATGTTAGCTCGGCACTTCAGCCAGTAAAGCAACACTTTTGGGAGTGTTGGATGGTAAAACCACCAACCCTCCTATGGGAATTAAAAAAAGAACTACTCGTCATTCACAGTGAACATTAATGTCTTCTAAATGTCCCTTTTCATATAAAGGATAAATACACTTAAAAAACTTAAGCAAAGGGCACTTATTTCTTTTGCCCCCTCCCCCTAACCTAGAGGAAGGGGGCAAAAAAAGTACCCCAACCTCCCATCTCCAGATACATACTTACTGTATCAAACACCCATGACCGTCAGAATTTGTTTACATCCTTCGACTAATATCTAGCAGTAACTCCCCATAGACTCCCGATGGTCTGTTACAGGGCCATGTCCCATGGCTCGGAAGACAGTCCCACAGACGTCTATGGGGATCTACTGCACAGGGGCTACACGGCCACATTTTGTGTAAGGGATGTAAAAAAACTGAAGGCTTCAGGTATGGGAAACAGGTAAATATGTATTTGGCCAAGGGATGGGTGAGGTTGTTTTAATGGCTGATCCATGTAGTGCTTTTAAGCTCTGTACAAAATGAACTGAACAGAACTCAACAAGAACATACAATGTGAGCTCATACAACCTTCATCTCCATAAAGTATGCGGTCTAAATGACTCCCCTAATGCTCTTCAAATTCAATTAAATTCAATAGAACATAATGTTTTACGACAGTATTGTTCAGTTTTGATTCCTACCATTGTTGTGAAGAAGTAGTGATAATATTCAGTCATCATCCCCATAGAGAGAATCTAAAAACAAACAAAAAGATTAAAAATTGTAGATACTTGTTCAAATAAATGGAAACATTATTACCTGAACATCATAAATGTTTGCAAGAATTCAGACATGGGAAATAGATTTTTCTGTTCTTAACTTTTAGTGGGTTATTCACAAAGCTGACGAAGGCAGTGAATGACCCAGCCGAAGTGAAGTGAGCCGAACGCTACTACTGCCTCTGCTAGGGACGAATTAACATATCTAACATAGCAAATCTTTACTTTTTAAATTCAGATCTACTTTAAGCACAATCCAAGTGACTTTGCCCAGGATGAGATGATGTCATCAGTCTGCTGCAGACAGAAAGAAGCATTTCCTCAATCAACCCCCCCCCCCCCCCTCTTCCACACCGATTAGACTACAGCATGCACTTAATATGACAAAATATATCTGCAGCTATATCTGCATTAATTTCTGTGTAAAGACTGAAAAGATTTGGAGGCCATCATTTAGCCTAGGCGCCATATATAGTTTTTCAGTAGATGCAGTGGCTGCATTAGTTTTCTTATTTCAGGCTATGCACATTTCCTTTAAGTGCAGAAAAATACATGTTAAGCCTGTCAAAATCCCTGAGGCCTCATGTCTTTCAGTGTCCTGAACTGAAATCTCAATCAGCTTTCCAAACTATCTTTTGTATATTACAAAACTATGTAATATAGATTAGATGGCAGGTTTTTGTAATCCAAATCTGTATACTAGATGGCACAGATAAGCATATAATATAATTATTTCTTAATGCTCATCCGTGCCTCATGCTTCTTCATGCTCCTCAGTGCCAAGTAGAGGCCAAAATCCAGTATTAACTTGGAAAAAACATTTGAAATTGCTTTGTAAAAAAAACCTCATGGATCACAGATTCATTAATAGCATGCAATGCCAAGCAGTGGCCAGCAAAGCAAGCAGGATACTAACCTGCATTAAAAGGGGAATTTTGGAAAAAAGCAAAATATAATTCTACCACTTTATAAATCACTGGTTCGGCCTCACCTATGTGGTTCAGTTTTGGTCACCAATCCTCAGGAAAAATGTCTTTACACTTGGAGAGTTCAGACAAGGGCTACAAAATTAATAAAGGGGATGGAAGGCCTGATAGATCGCCTTCAGCAGTTAAACTTGTTCTCCTTAGAAAAGAGGCGCTTAAGAAGGGACTTAAAGGGTTACTAAACCCTGGCATGTTTTTGCATGTATCTACTGCTAGCAAGCAGTAGATACATGCAAAACGATTAAAAAGAAGAACTTTTTCAAAGGATTAATACTTACCTGTGTCTCCGCCGTGTGCATCGTCCGAACATCTGAAAATTTCTCAGGCAGCTGCAAAGGATCTTGGGGCGGGTGCATGCACAGTTCAGATGTTCGGCCGGGAAACGAGGAGAGACACAAGGTAAGTATATGGAGCAGCGTGCACCCGCACAGACTCCGTGGGATATGAGAGAAGAGGAGGAAAGAGCAGTCAGCGCTGGATCAGAGACCCGCACCAGCCCTGGAGGGACAGATGAAAACTACAGGAAAAAAGAAGATCAGATTAAGAGGCATCATTTAAGATAAGTCCTTACTTTAGCACTGTGGGGGAGGGGGCACACCTTTGCCCTTAATGTCACTTTAACAGCAGTTTTCAAAATCAGAAACAGTGACCGCATTATCAGGAATAACATGTTCAGACTAAGAACTCTATTGATGATGCAGGGACACAACAAGAGGTTGGATGTGAGGTGGTTTAATCTTAGGCTGCGTAAGGGATTTTTTACTGTACAAGTAGTACAAATGTGGAATTCTCTTCCACAGTTAGTAGCATCCACTGATAGTGCTGATAAATTCAAGAAGTTATTAGATTAGTTTCTTAACCCACTAAATATACAAGGATGGGAACTGCCAGAGCCAAGTTCATACAAACACACGCACACACACCTACCCACATGCATACGTAAATTGAACTGGATGGACTTCTGTCTTTATTCAACCTTACCCACCATGTTACTATGTGACCTACAGAACATCTGTTTTGGCATATATCCACAAATATTCACATATATTCACAGGGTGAACAGCCCTGTGAATATGATGATAAATAGACCCCTATGTGTAACTGCAGCCAATTTTTCTTATTTACTATAAAAAGATTAGGATATTGTGAATACCACCCTTCTCTTTTCATTAAGAAGATGGTAGGCTCTAAACATGTCACACAGGGATTTGTCAATGGTTTTAGAAAAGCTGTATGTGTTGAGTATTTCAAAAGGACATTTCAAATTCTACATGCTTTATATTGCCCCCATGGGAAGTGCTAGACAGCCTGATCCTTGGATGACTGTCATAGTCAAAGTCTTGCAGTGTATGGTTGACAAATCTGTCAATGAAAACATTTTTATATGTATTTTAATTGAGTATTTTGCTGTGTGACTGCATTTAGCCTTTTGTTTTTACTCATACATTTAACATTTGTATGTCTATATTTTATACAAGGACAATCTAACTCCTATTATCTATTCATCCCCTGTCTTGCAGTAGGCTGCCCTCCTGAATACCTAACACCAAGCTGAGAGACAGTCAGTGAAATAATTCTTTAACAAGAGAATTACAGAGGAAATCTATTCAGCTTTGTAAATTCAATCAGCGGTTTTGTTCTGTTAATTAAAGCCACAGCGATGGTAAGTTGCCGCCTGTCACAATAATTCCATAAAGGGAAGGGATCCGCTTTGAAATCAGCGAGAGGGAAGAATACACATCCAATTCAATCTCCTCATTTGATAAAAGAAGTTCTATGAGCTGGCTTCAATGCCACAAAAAAGAAAAAGAAACAAGGCAATAGGAGCTAAAAATAAGAAACGTTTTGCCTCTGTTTATTCGCTGGATGTGATTATTGCTTTAAATGTCTCCAGGAAAAAAAAAGGAACACCACCTTCCATTGCCGTCAGGAACAGACAGTAAGGATGACACTGGTCCTTTGTTTTCAACACGGTTCATTTGTTATCCAATTAAATTATTTAAATCTTCTCACAAGATGAAGAAAAAGAATGTCAGGATTTAAAACACAAAGCATTGCCTAAAACGTAGAATTGAATTGTTGAAATGTAAAAGCATATCTAGAACATTTTTAAAAGGTTCTCACTTGAAGTTGATCTCCAGGAATGTGGGTGCTCCCCACTACCACCCCCCCCCCTCAATTAATCACTGGGTTAAAAATGTAAATAAAAGCTATCCTCTACTCACCTAAATCCTTGGTTATGTGATGTGCCAGTCTCATGTCTTCTGTGTGCTGGACTACAATGGAGGAAGGTCCTTCTTTGAGTCCCATGTCGCTACATGGGTGACATGGACATTTCCCATTGGCTGTCTAGCGGCGGGGTCCTCTTTCATAAGACTGCAGAGGTAGGATGACTTCAACAAAAGGGATGATCGGCATGGGCACAGACTGCAGCAATGGGTCACTGGTCTCAAGCTCTAGAGGAGGCATCATTAAAATGTAACTGGGTGAGAAGGGCTAGTAAAATGTGAGTGGGTGAGAGAGGCCAAGGGATGGTCTTTAAAGTTGACCTAGATCCTCAAATCATCTCTGAATTCATGCTGACGTAGCTAAGGTACATAAATGCATTTTAAAGGTTTAATTTCTGAGCTTATTGTCACTTTACCCATTCATTTATATTTGTTTAAAGTACATCTAAAGCCAAAACTTTTTTCTTTTAGTTTTGTATAAGTATTGAATAGATTTAACCCCACATACTCCCCCTGGAGACTACAAATACTCCCCTTGAGGAGATGTTCCTTAATTTCCTGTCCTGTAGACACAATAGGGAGTAAGTGTATATCTTTAAAACATGAGGAAAATGCCCTTCTAGACAGGTGTCTCTGGAACAAGTGTCCCTATAGGAAGATGCTACAACTCAAAATGTTGGATTTCCTCTCACTTCCTTTCTGACATTGGTCATCAGGACAAAGTTTTGGCTTCAGATTAACTTTAGGATTAAGAAAAACTTTAGATTAAGAAAAAAGTGCATGACCACAAGACCTGACATGATTGCAAAATGAGAGAAACTTTACGTTGGGATAACTTCAAATGTGATTAAAGACCTTTCATGTTAAAAGGACACAAAGGTCTGAATGTTCTTGCTGCAGCTGAAAAATAACTTTTACAAAGTGATTACCACAATAGAAGTGAGTGTTACCCTGGTACCAGGACACCAATTACATCATAACAGTATGCTGTCTATTGGGGCATCGAGTTTGTAGGTGAGAAAATGATCCATCTAAGTGTAAGACTCAAATCATTCACAGAAATCAAAAAAGCTCATACTTTTAGCTATTGGAGTTTCCAATTCTATCTTTTTTGTTCAACATTTTTCATTTATTAAAGGGAACACTTGACTTAATTTTACCTTGTAAAGTGAGCACAGGTTAATATCTAAATATCAACCACAGCTTTAGTCACTGGGCTCTCTCTCCCATTTCTTTCAAGTTCTATGGCTACCTTTTGTACTTTTTGTAACATCCAGTAATACTCACTTTAATCCATAGTCTCACAACAGCCAGTGTCCCAGTCCACCAATCTCCAGCAGTGGAATGTAGGCACGTACCTCTAGCCTGTTCCCATTCTGATGAAAGCTTATGAAATTGCCACAGAAGGAGGTATAATGGGTCATACAGTAGACCGAAAAAGCAACCCTGTATTTTGCCCATGCAGGGCAAAGCAAAAGGTTCACTTCAGTTTACAAAATCAAATGTAAAAAAAATTACATATGAAAAATCAAAAGAAGGGGTTTTTAGTCCTGCAAATCATAATGGCAGAGGTCGGCTCTGCCATTACAGATGACTGAGAAATGCAGAGCCAGGAGAGACACCCATGCCAGCTGCGCCACCCCCTCAGCACAGTGCCTCTCCTGCCTCTGCTTGGCACTGTTTGAATGCCTCCATTCCCAATAGCTCATACTTTCCCTTCACTCCCACACCACAGAGCAGGAATTAAAAAAGGTAAGTGTGT